CCCCAAAACCCCAAAACCCCAAAACCCCAAAACCCCTTTAGGTATGAAAGATATTGAATTATTCACTCTTTGTACGAGAAATTATGGCGATTAGTAGCATACATCCAAGAACTATAGCTCCTGATAAGGCCTCGTATGTAATAATTTCAGTGTCATTGATCATTAGGTATTCTTTATTTGGCACTACAGGGGCTGTTACATTATAATGATGATTATGCTCAGAAGAAAAGTCCATATGTCTCCAAATTTTCTTGTGTCCTAATTTCCCATTAACAACCTCTTCAAATCCAAGAGGATTATTAGCTGTAATTCTCGGATCATTATAGCAAATATATGCAAAATCTGGATCTCTGACCCAGAATGTTGTCTGATCCTTCAATACCTTAGTTTTTTTATCTGGTAGTTGATATCTCAGATGCCAGGGGAACCACCAGGAGAAATCATAGCCTCCATTTTCATTCTGTGTTATTTTTGAGACTAAACCTTCGCTCTCCTCCAGCTTTAGGTAGTATGACACGAAGTGATGCTTAGAAACATTGGCAGGCTTCTCTATATCAATGGGGTAGTCAAACTCCATTGATAGCTCCTTCAACCGAAGGAGCTCATCCATGTCGAAGAATATATCTGAACTGACATACTCGCTGATCTTAAGAACACAATCGTGACTCATAATAGGCTTCAAGGTCAAAGAGTTTTGATAAATCTTATGAAAGCCCGGGTTCTCTATCGAACGGTTGAATGAGAGAATACGAGGCTCATACAGATTCTTATCCATATTAAGATATGTACTATGAGGAGTACCATCGCAGAAATATAGCCAAGAATCCTTCTTGATTGTAACAATAGCTTCTTTTGCGAACTTAGACTTATCCAAGTTTACAGAATATCCAACTAGCTGTGCGCTAGATTCCTTACCGATAATATAAGTATACTCATCTATTTCAAGCCCCTCTGATATTTCAACCTGGCTTAATAACTGGAATGGAAACTTAAAATCCTTCTCAAAGAGTCTTTGGAGTTCACCGCTCTTGTTAGTCTCAAAGCTTGCCTTCTTGCAAAACCTTGTCTTATCCTCTGTGGAACCCATGCGTTGAAAAATCTTAGGGTCTTCGAAGGAAAATCCTTGATTAGCAGTTCTATTTCGAAATTTACAAAACTAACTTACAGCAATGAGTTCACTGAGTGTCTATCTTTAGAGCACATTGAGACATAAATCTGGGAATTGCCATTATCCTAGAATAAAAAGAGAATTTACCAAGTTATAACTCTTGACATTTACAAGAGCTTTACCTTCATTCATTGCTTCCATTGGATATTTTGCCAAAAATCCATATTTTTGATGATCAAGATGTAATCTGGGTGAATGAGTGGCAAGTGAGATATTAAGCAAAGTACTTGGTTCTCCTTCATGAACCTGGTAGTTCATAGAAGGACATATCCTTATTTTAAAGTCACCAGGCCCTTCACTTCTAGCTTCAAAGACGAGAAGAATTGTAAACACCAAGCTATATAAGAATTTCATTTTTAACTTATAATTTAAAAATGGGGTTTTGGGGTTTTGGGGTTTTGGGGTTTTGGGG